CCCCCCCACCCAGACTTATCTGTCAGGCTGCTCTCCAGGCTGCCTGGTGGCCACGTGCATGTATATGAGCGCCCCTTGCCAGACCGCCCTCCTCCCACTCCCCACAGCCCCTTGCAGGCTAGAACTCTGCCAGCCTGCAAGGAGAAACCCACCTTAACCTATATTTTTCTCCTTAAAAAGAGAAAATCCAGGTTTTTCCACATTTTTTCTGTCAGAAACAGAAAAGTCAAGTCTCTGCTCATGACTACGTTCAGGTACATACAAGCTAAGTATGTTTTATCCCCTGTAGTAACCTGTTTGCCCAGAATATAAGATCCCAATACTATACCAATAAATATCATTTTTCCCTTATTTCCATGAGTAGAGGACTTCGATGGAGTAGACTACTATTCCTACCTTGTTGATAACCTGTCCTGGGCTTTAGGTTTCATCATACAAGCAGCCAGTCTCAAGAACAAACAGCACTTCATTTTGTTTTGTTTCTATTCTAAAGAACAAGTGTGTGCATCTCACTTATCATTCATTCTAGAAGCTTGCAATGCAGTAGCTCAACTCCACAGATGCTTAGCATGCTAATAAAAAACTGTAGTAGGGTTGTGGTTGTAATAGTGGTGATACTCCAAAAAATATACAAGAAGCAGATCTGGTTAGTAATACCATTTATTGGGCCAACTGTATTGTTGGGAGAGGTTAAACAAGCTTTTGGGAACAAAATGCCCTTCAAGTCCAGAAAAGAAGCATATAGTACAGCCTAAGATGCTGCCCCCTCCCCTTTTATTCAACTATTTTCATTTACATAAGGGAGCTACATAAACGTCATTGCTTCATCTGGTACTTAGCTTAGACTGTATCTGCTTCTTCCCCAAACCCAAGGAGGGTATTTTGTTCCTTTGGGAACAAAAGCTTATCTAACAGCTCTCCCAACTATTTCGCTGGCCCAAACAAACCTTGTAAATCCAAAACTGATCTGAAGAGGGCAAAAGAAATCAGGAGTCTCTGTCAACAAAGTCCAAATTCAGTGCTTTATCCAAGGTTATTTACTTTATCAAACCACAAGGCTCATTTATCTGTTTAAATAGGGAATCAAAAACAATTAAGTCTAGAAAGTATAAAGTATATATAATGTTGATTGAACACACACTGGCATAGTCCATTTGAGATAAAAATTCATGACAATAAGAATATAGTAATTGCAGGATATCTCAAACATTCAGCTTTCTGAAAAGCAGAATGTCTAATGATGAGGATTTTTTTTGCAAATGAAAATCAATTGCAAATGAAAGAACAAGTCCTTAGTGATATTAAGCAAATGAGGAGCAGATATTAAATCCTGCAGAATAAATAATCCTGTTAAACCTGTGTCAGTGCAACTTAACAGTGAACTGACAAATTCATCTGTTCCTCATGCTGAATACAAAATAATATGATGAAATAAACTGTGTTGGGACAGGATAGCCAAAAGGCTTCCATCCAGCTGCCTTTTACTCCTAGGACTTTAGCTACAGAGGACACTGATAAAGTTAATTTGGCTTAGCAATAAAAGAAATCAGCCCACCGTCAAACAATTTAGAATGTAAATTGCAACATACAAGTCTAAGCAGTTCAGAAACGCAGTAATTTACCACTGGACTGGACACATTAACCTAGTCAGAGTAATTTCGGAATATCATCTTTTACTATAAATTAATGCTGAAAGAAGCTCTGAATTTAGAATATTGTAGATACATTGTAGATACTGTGGTTTTCTGAAGCATACCATGTGTCTACAGAGAACTTCTAGTTCTCAGGGAAGTAAACACGCCCCACACCTTCCAATTCCTTCAATGGGAATTACAGGTATTAAGAGCCTTGCCAGTAGAGCTAATGGAGCAAGACAGAATAGCTACAGCTGCCTCATTAATATTAGTTTTGCAATGCCATTATTCCACTCCTACTATCTCAACCTTTTGTATTCTAGATATAAAATTATTTCCATGTCTACTTAAGCTTCTTTTTCCAAACATGACTAAGATCCCATAGCAATAAAGATGTACATTTATGTTATCCCAAAATATATTTCATGATCTGTATAGTTTCTCCTAAAGAAGCCTTTATTGAAGAGAAATCTCTTCTATGGTTGAGACACATCAGCTGATGGATGCAGTTTGATACCCACTGCACTTATTTCAGCATTAATTTTCTATAATGATGCTTGTCACTTAATTCAAACTTTCTTTCCAAATCTCAAGATATTTTTAAAACATTTTGATTGCACTGCTTAACATTTGGGCTGGGTGAAAACGTTATGTTCTTCTTTCAACTTCATCAAAATAAGTTTTGGAAGATGTCAGATATCTCTAACTACCATGAGTAGCCTCATAGGCTTACATCCTACAGGCCCTTACTATCAATTTCTATAGGACTACAGTGGCTCCTTTTTGGACCCATGTCCTGGAATAGCTGCAAACTGCATGCTAGTTAAATTGACAGATTATACTAATTTGAAAGGAGTTATGAACACCAGAGTACATAATTAGCCTAAAGAGAAACAGAATTTAGAAACATAGGTAGGAGCCAAATGGAGATTTATTTCTGAGAAATCCAAGCCAGTACAGGTAAAGAATAATCATTTATTAATTGAATGGGAAAAACAACACTTCCTTATTCTTAGCTGCATGATGGAGATATTAAGAAAGTTCCCTTTCTTGCAATAATGAGGTCCACAGAACTTCATAATCAAGTCTCTGCCCAATGCAGCTTTAGAGGAAAACCAGAACTGTGCATTGTAGAGAAGTATGGCTCAATGTAAGATTTCACCAGTTGAGATACTTCAATTGACCTATGAGATCTCTAGCCACTCTACACCAGTAAGGAAAATTCAGTATTAAGACTATTCTTTTGCAGACCAAGGAATTCAATGAGAAAAACTGAGCTCCAGTTATTCTGGGACAGGATACAGGCCATTAAGGGTGGATTGGATCTGGTGGACCTCATTATTTCAACACAGGAAATTTACAAGTAAGAACAGGGCAATGTATCCATGCCTTATTAGTAAAGTGGTTTATAGATCCATGATACTGCTATTTATTTCACTGCATCTTCTCAGGGGAGCTATATGCAGGTGCAGATACAGAAAGAGGTAGCACATGCCTAATAGTTACACAGATACCATAATCACCCATAAAGTATTTTCCACCTTTGGAACCAAGATACTAGTAAGTGACGCAACCTAACCTGGAATGGAATAGCTCTCACCCACTGTCCAAATCCTATCTAATTGGAGGTGGCACTAGACCACCAGCTTTTTGTCTTTTCTACATGTGCTTTATACAAAGAGCACACTTAGTACCCAGAACAACATATTAAAAGAAGCTCAACATCTTCAAATCGGGGGCCAATCCAACGATGTACTACACTTGTACTTTGGGTGCAGACAGAAGTGCAGCTCCCAGCTGCAACTAAGAACAAGTTCTGCAAAGTGCTTTGA